GAAAGAGTGACATTTTAGGAGGAAAAAGCAGTAGTTTATACAAAGGAAAGTGGACGCAGCAAGTCAACGTTGGCTTTCTGTGTAATTGTTTAAGACAGGATGCATTTAAAGCACTTCCTTCCACAACAATGTTCTGACAGGAGTTTAAAAATACCAGTTCACAACAGTTGGAACCTGCATCTTATTCCAAGACGGCTGCTGTTAGGATGACTGTGTTTCAGACTGGGCTGTGAACAGGGTTGGGTCACCAGAGTGCTGGGAGGAAGCTCACAGCTAGAGCCACTGATCTCCCTTATCAGACAAACCACTCTGTGTGTTTAAATCCTGCAGCTGGAGAAACAAGCACTTATTACCACTCAGTCTTACACAATTTCCTCAACACTCTATCCTGCTCTGATCCCAGAGGTACTTGAAACAAATACACCACCACATTAATACCGTCGCTGCATCTGCCACATAGCTACTAAAAAAATATGCTTAAAGCCCAAATCTTGAATCCTTTTTAAATATGTTTTCTCACTTACAAATCCATAGGGAAAACTAATTTATTGCATCTAAATTGTAAACTAAATTAGTATAAAAATAAATTTATTATTTGACACACTTGAGAACTGATTTCACATCTTCACTCCAAAACAGCCTTCCTTCACAGGCTTCAACAAGTCACTTAGAACCTCTGCACTATCTGTAAAAAGTGGATAACACTCAAACACCTCAAAGGCACTGCAAAGACAGGCACAGCTGAGGGGCTCAGCTAGCGGGAAGGGAACTGCAAGATGCATCTCAGCACTTCCCAGCTACTGATCTCAAAATACAGCAATAAGGCAGTTATGTCCAGCTGACAGGTACAACCTGTCAGGGAGCCATTCGGCAGCAACGCCTATTAGCCCACCAGAAAGCTGAGGGTCACTGATGGCCCCAGCAGCCCCGTAATTTGGGAAACGCAGCCCAAGCTGTATTTAGGCGAGTTAAAAATATAGGAATTCCAAGTGATGGAACTTGTTAATGGTTGGTTTGGTTCTGAATTGCATTAGCAGGCTACACTCCTGGTGGAAGAGTGTGTTTTAAAATAACATCCCTCGAAAACAAAGTTTCCTCCAAGTAGTTAGTGGAAACAATGAAACATCTGGGTATGCCTAGAAGCTGTTTCTTAAAATAAAATCATTGTCTAGTGAGTCTAAAAAAACAACAAAAAAAAAACCCCACAGACAACTCTATCAAAGTAGCTATTCATCTTAATACTCCTAAAAAAAAAAAATGTTGGAGCTTGCCTGTGGTGGAATGGAATAGCAATTCTTGGTGTTCCACGCTTTTACTGTAATTATAGCTGAAGAAATAAAATGTTCCCTCACCAATTCTCTTGATAATTTCCTCACATTCTTGCTCAGAATTCGATTCAAACACTAGACAGTCAAATGTGCTCCCTTCAAGGCTCTCTGGGGAAACACTAAATATGGAAACACATCCATTAGCAGGCAAAAAGAAATCCAGTACTTAGCAGTGACACTGAAAGCCAGGCAGCGTCTTAGCAGTATCTTGTAATCGCGTAAGCGACAGCGCAGCTTGTCTGGACGTACTTCAGTTTTTCTAAGCCCCGCCATCCCTCAACTTTCAAGTCCAAGCTCAACCCCGCTACACATATGGCACCGTGTGCTGGCCCAAACCTTGACTGGCAGTGCATTTGAGTGCCAGTCATGCCACGTCCAGCTCAAAGACCTTCAAAGCGGTGGGCAGGCAGGTCATTCAGACACTGCTCTGGGTGAGGCACTCTTCCCATGGGACCCCCCCCCCACCATGGGCTCAGCTCAGCATCACGCAAAACAACCAGCAAATTGCCCCTGCTAAATGCAGCATTTGCTTCTCGCCACTGCACTTTCGTTTCCTTCATACCTGCTCTGGATCATGCACACACGCACGCTCGCTAGCCGCGCAGCCCCTGGTCTGGGCAGCCCGGCCAGGCTTAGCCCACAAGCAACACTTACACAACGCAGAAGGCAAATAAATTGCTGCTGCTCAAGTGGCGTCCCACACAGGAGATCTCTGGATAGGCATAGCGGAACAGGACCTACGCAGGGAATCAGAGGGAGAGCGCGTTAGGGCAAGATCCAGTTCATCCCTGGAGCTAGTCCTGCCACTGAATTAAGGACAGGCTTAGTGCGGGGACGGGCGTCACAACAAGCGGAGCAGCTACATGTATGAACCAGAACAGCCCCCACTGCTGTGCATACCCATCTTCCCACACTGCTGTGCATACCCAAAGCTCAATGCACCACATGCAAGCCAGGAACAAGCAAAAGGAAAGGCTGAGGGTGTCGATTCTGCACATCACTTGGCCATGCCGCACCAGACCACGTGTCTAGCTGGGTCAGCATCTCTGCAAGAGCACCTTCTCAGCTCCTCCCTTAAGCAGCTGTTAGGAAGCAGCATGCTCAGAGCTACCCCGGGAACGCATCCCAAGATGGACAGCGTGGGGATTGCCTGACGCTGCCTGGCTCAGGAAATCATGTTCACGCGGCCCTCGTGGATTACAAACTTGCCTCACCCCTTCTCACACCAACATCTATTTTTGGCCTCCGCTGCCTGGCTTACCCCAGTTCTGAAATCCCCTTTGTGAAACAACGAGCCTCTGTTTGGTTCACGTTCACTCTGTGATCATGCAGCCTTTTGAGCCACCAGTTTTCCCTTTAACCGCTCTCACCTGAACAGCGGCAGCAGCCGGGCTGCGCGCTGAGTTCCCACGGTCCCAGGTCGCCAGGCGCTGCCCTGCAACCACCTCCCCGCACACCGCCGCCACCTGAATAGTCAAGGTCCCAGCCTGCCTCGGAGGGTTTCGGCTAACCTCAGGCATCACTCTCTCACCTTGGATGAAGTCTTCTCTTGTACGAGGACTTCCGTTTCCTTCACATCAAATAAAACCTCCTGAATGGGGAAAAAGAAAAAAAAAAAGGAAAATCAAAAAAGCCCCAATCATTGCAGCTTTTGAGCTTTATTTTTAATAAGACACTTGCAAGAGAGAGATTATTCGAGAGCAGAGGTAATGAATCTCATCTGAAACAGTTTTTCAAGGACTTTCCTGTTGCTCATGGCAAAATCCACAGATGG